TACCACTGTTAAAAAGTATGTTGTTGTTGTATATTGGATGTTTAACAAGATATCATGTAAGAATAATCTACTAATATATAAAGAAAGACTTGTATTTAATGAACAGTCAAAATGTAGTTTCATTGGGGCCAGTTATAACAAAGTAACTTAAATTTTATTTATTCCTAGAGTTATTTAATACCAAATGCTGTTTAAAATACAGCAGATTGTGAAGACATTTCTATCTGTACTTACTATGTTCTTCTAGTATTCTATCTATCCTTGTGGCCAGGTTTTGAGCCTCAACTCCTGCGCAGACAACCTCCAGTGGTGTTCCATTCCTATTGATGAAGAAAAGAGATGGCACCGGCACAAATTGATCTGTTTTTTATGTTAATGTAATTATTTCATTTATGATTTGATAAGTCTAGTTACAAAAATTACAACTACATAGAAACTCCTTTTGTAAAGTCTAGTAAAATAAAAAAAAAACATTGAAGTATATTTGCTTTTATACCTGTCAATAATGAATATTACACATGTTAAAATGTTCTTTTAACAAAGGATACAAATTTGTGCAAAATGTGTATAGTTTATAGATCCGCTCTTCAACTTGATGGCAAGGAAGTTTTCTGTGTCCGATAGCCTCTTCTCCACAGCTCCATTGTCAATTATAGATGACATTTCGGCTGATTGTTCATTGTCACCTTATCAAATTAAATACAATTCTCATGAAAATAGTACACTAATATAGCCTCATATTTAAACAATCATTCACTTACTTTTGTCTCTTTTGTACATAATCAAGATTAATGTAACAAACTATGGTTAACATTTGTGGTATACTTTGACCATTATAATTATTAAACAGTTGAAATATTTGGCACAAATTTTAGTTTTAGGAAATTGTAGATTTGGTCAAATGAAAAATTCGACTAGAAACAAATTTGTTACACAAAACAAAATGTCGTATTTGTAAATTTTACCATATAATAGTTTCCGTACGTTTTGAGTGACTTTAGTGGAAGTTTTAGTAGAAATAAGGTAATGAATTATGTGACAATAGTAATAAAAAATTGCCGACAGATGTGTAATTGCATCATTGAGTGATGCGAAGATTATGTTCTCAATTTTAATAACCTAATTAGAATTAAAGATCCTACAGTTACAATTAACTTATAATTTTATTTGTCCAATTTATATAGGAATCAACGCTTATGATTAAAAAAATTATTTAATGTGAAAAGTAACCGTACCTTCAACAAAAACGACGAAAATTGCATTTCTTTGTTTTGATAATGCAACCGCTTCTGCAATACTTCCCCCGTACCAATGCATGGTTAATACTATTTTTTTATCGTTTACTGGCACAGTTATAAACTATTTTTTAGATTTGTATTATATTTCACACAATTTCACAAATGTTGATATGGAACAAAAATAATACAATGAAGACATGACACAACAAATTTTGACAATACTGACGTGTTTGCCATTTTTTGGTTCCATTTCATGAAGTGTCACTTTTATTCGAAAAATGAATTTCCATTATAACCTGGAGTTGTATTTTGATACAATAAGAATAAAATATTCTTAATATCTCATCTGTTTTACACTTAAAAAGTTAAATTATATTACTAAAGAAAAAAACGAACCGAATGTACAAAAACATTTTGACAAAACGACCTAATAAATTCTATTATCAAATGCTCCTTGTCTTTGCTTACCTACATGTGACCTTGTACGATTATTCAATGCATGATAATGTTAAACTTTGTGTTTTTACTATCCGTCACAAGATGTCGCTAGTAGAACAAGATTTTACGATATTTCACATCAAATATGAGCTTAAGCTCAGGAAACGTGGCCAAGAGCGGGTTTGATTTTGTTAATCATAACTTTGTTTATACAAATGTTATCTTCAAAAAAGGATATTGTATGCTTTACACACTTATTTTTCATTAAATGAAGTCCAAAAAAATGATAATTAGCTAGCTATTATTGATTACGACCAAGAAACTTCGAATCGTACTTTTACATATTTTATATAGAAAGAAGAAAACATTGAAGGGAGTGAGAAGAGCTCCCTCTTAACAAAATACACGTTGTAAATGAAAATGAATATCAGAAAGACGCATTCTTCATTTGAAGATGATAAACATTATGAAATTTTCTTTAAAACAGGTAAAAAATCTCTGCGTGGCTGATCCACTACTTAGCACTTACTCCTATTAGAACTGGCATAGTTGCTAACCAGCGGCCACCTTAGCTAGCGAGAATATAATACCCAGAAAATATGCTTATAAAAAAATTGTAAACCATAAAATAGACACTTAAATTATTAATTGGCTCATTTACAATGTTTATATAATGTCAAGATGATTTACTTTACAAAAGAGACTTAGTGCCTGTATAAATAACCTCCGCAGCAATTAACCAATTTGTATACGAAGATGTGCAGCTGACAACACTACGCTCGACTTACTGTTCTTTATTACTCTGGCAACATTTTAGTGTCTCTTTGAAAATGGAAACGAAAATTGCGCCCTAAAACTGAAATGAGGCGCGAAATGCGGTGACGGATTCGCGCCTTTGCGAGAGCTAAAAATGAACACCTTTCGACAACTCTGTGCGGGACAAATGGATAAGTAAAAGATAAGTATTAGTTTTATTGCCTTCAGAAGTTTGTGGAAGTCCGCAGCCGGAGCAAATAATAAAAACACAATTTTCAAACAACATATTTATCGAGAAATAAAATATTTTGACAAAATTAATCTTTTTCCACCAAACTTATTGTTTTATAGAAAATTATCTTTCTCCAGTATGTTCTTCTAGACTGTCTTTTATCTCCATCTTCGAAATCCGCCCAGCCGTTTAGGAAACAAACTATTAACAAACATTTAACCATCCATCCATCTAAACTTTCGTATTTATAATATTAGTATGATTAGGAAGATACAAACGATTGCTATAATTAGATAAGCTAAGCGCTGTAAACGACAAGAATAAGAAAAGTAGTTTTTTTATATGATGAACAGAGTACTTTTTAACATGTTAAAGTTGTTAATTTAAAATTACAAACACAAAAACCCGCCCATACCGATGCGTCAAAGTGACAGCGCGGCTCGACGGAAGCGTTTGCGATCGTCGCTCGTTAGGCATTGATGACTTTGTTAATTGTTATTTAGCACCGAATTAGATTTAAAGCCGCCACTGACGTGTGAATTGATTGTTTTCGAACGCCGTGTTTCATTTGCGGTATGCTAATTTGAATTCTTCTTCTGTTATATGCCTGTTAGTTATTTGGATTTTTTTTTCTTTACTTGTTTTTACCTTTTTATTTTGTGTGCCAGTATTCTTATAGAGATTCCAATAAAGCGAAAAAACACAAATATTGTTATAGATAAAGGGAATAATTTGTACTCAGTCTCCCTTAATGGAGGCGAATACTTAGCTTAATGGTCACTAAGAGTTTTTACTACGTTTAACACTAAGTTTAATGTTGGGTTTAGAAGATATAATAGCAATGTTTATATGTTTTTATGTTTATTTTGCTAATAAAATCTGTTTTGATGATAATGGCTCAACTATATTTATAGATAGCGATTGGTCGATTTTATTACCGAAGAATCGATCGCATTACCAAAATAAATGACTAAGGTATCATTAAGGGCGGCCAGTTTCATGATGGGGTGACAAACACAGCGGAGTATTTGCCGAGGGGTTGGCAACGGAACCCTAAATTCAATGCTTAAGCACGCTACGGAACCACGTATTAACAAATTATACGTATTATCTGCCTTGAGTGTGTTTAGCAGAGTTATGAAATTTATAGAGGTTACTTTTATCTGTAGTAGTCAATATTATAAACAGGAAATATTTGTATTTTACTCAACTTTGTGTAAATTGTAATATAAGCAATCATCTATTTTCAAATACTACGGAAGACCAGCACATGTGCTGAGTTTTTTCAAACAAATAAATGTATTTGTATTTTAGGATGTATTGAAGTAACTCAAAAACTACTGGACCGATTTTAAAAATTCTTTAACTGTTAGAATGGTAATTTATCTGTGTGTAACATAGATATTTTATTAATTTCACGCGGACAAAGTAGCGAACAACAGTTAGTAATTAAACAAACAATAATTAACAGTAATCTTCATTTAATTATTAGACAATGTCTTTCTTTATATACGAGTAGTTAGTATATAGCTAAAAAGTTGATGCGTCTTTAATCCATGGATAAAATATGTTGATTTCACATTATTTGTATATACTTTCGATAATTAAACAATACTAGCAGCAGTATATAGTATATGATAAAATTTCTCAAATGTGTGAAAATTGTAATTTGCCAAGTCTATAATTTCTTTGGTCAACACGGTAGGCATTTACATTGAACTGTACCGTTCAATTACTAACAAATACACTGACAGGAACTACTTATTATATTTTAACCTCTTTCTAATTGAACGTTGTAGTCGCGTTGTATTGTTACTATCGAATATTTGAACAAATTTGTTGTTATTATGTCTTCGTATGTCTTCACCTCAATATTATTTGTTCGTTTTTGTACCATTGATAATTGGTAAAAGACAATCTTCAATCCACCACTGAAAAATTTTGTGCGATGAAAGGATATTGCTGCATGCAATGTAATGCTTTCATTCATTTCTTTCATTCCGTTCCATTCCATCGCATTTAATTTTATTTTAATAAATTCATTGTTTTAACGCTGAAGATACTATTACCACCAAAATCCAAATTTTACGTAGATTTACGAGTAGACCGTGGTTTATAAAATAACATGTACCTTTTCTATACTCAGCGGTAATTATTTGTGTCAACAGACATGTTGTTTATTATAACAATGGACATCGTTCTCTTGTAATTACGTTTCAATATTTATTCGATAACAGTCTACAAATTGCTTGACAAGTTCGATTAGAGACTTTAAATTTAGGTATAAACGTTTTATAGTGTAGTTGTTGTCTCTAACAAAAATGATGTTTTATGCAAGTTTATCGAGAATTAAAAACTTAGTATAGCCTTAGAAGGTTACAATTCATTTTCAGGTTTTGTATTTTCTGAACTAAAAGTTGTACCGTAAAGTGGAAATGTTTCTGATGCCAAAAGATATTGCTTTTGTATAAGAAAAGAAATGTGATTCATTTAACCCAATATGGCAACCACAATTTCGCGCTGTGATGTTGACAGTTCGACGGAAGGGGCGTGGCTTCCGGCCGCGTTCCGTTTTACCTAAATGCGCGGCGGAGAGACGACACAATCCATTAAATATCGTCCAGCCAAATGTGAACTTTCAGAAAGTTGTGCCAACAAAAATATTTATATTCCCAACCAAACAATTAATATGATTAGCATTGTTGAAAATAAATATCAATCTGGTGTTTAAAAAAATAATCTTACGATAAAGAATATGTCTCAAAATCTCTTTGAGATTTGAAATAATATGGTACTTCTTTATAGTCCATTTTACACTGGTCGTTTTACCTAATGGGGTAATTAATATTGTCACAATTTATTGCACGGAACCAAAGGACAGCAGACAGCGTAATGTAAGGATATTATCGTAAATGATTTTATTTTGTCGCTAATGGTATCCTTATAAATAAGTTTAGCTTATAGGCTGAACTTACGATAATTTAGATTACTAAACTATAATTTACACTTTACTAGTACAACTTAAAACATGTTTTAGATAATTACTCGTCGATACCAATGATATTAAGTGTAATAAGTATTTCCATCCATATATATTCATGTTTTGATCATATTAGTTAAGATCGTGGTTACGCAACATCCGAGAGTGGACAGGAATTGCAAGTGCCGCCCAACTGTTTTGCCTTGCAAGAGATAAAGTCATATTTGGAGAACTGACCGCAAACCTTCTCTAGTCGGAGAAGCACCTTAAGAAGAATAAGAAGTAGAAAATAAGATCCAAATGTACCAAGGTGGTTTATACAAATTACAAAAGCTGTTAAACACGTATAGTTACTCTCTTTCAAAGCATAGATAGCACAAATCACATAGCTTCAATGCATAAAAGTTCGGACATAATCTATTCGGCACATACATCATAATTTACTCATGAACATAGAAGGCTACTTGCTGAGATTTTTTTTCTTATATATCTTTGATTTTAAAATTTCTTATCTCTTATCTTACTAATATTATAATAAATACGAAAGGTAAGAATGGATGAATGTTTGTTAGAGTTTGTAGCCTAAACGGCTGAACGGATCTCAATGTTGGACAAAGATGTAGACCTTGTTATTTTAATTCCACGCGAACGGAGTAGCGAGCGAAAGCTAGTACATAAATATCCGATGGAGTCCGGGGCGGAAACTGTAGCGGGAAAGTTAAGTGGCGTATCGCAGACCTATAAATCAGCGGTTAGTTTGTCGCGTCTGGGGTGAAATCGTATCACTGACATTTTATATTAAAAATAGTCTCTAA